GGGAGAACATGCAAATTCCACACAGAAATGCCAACTGATCCAGCTAGGGCTCGAACCAGTGACCTTCTTGCTGTGAGTACTAACCACTGAGCCACCATGCCGCCTGTGTGAAATTTTTGAAAACTTTAATTGCATTTAATTATGTACTATTATTATGATCATTCATTTTCTATCGGCTAAGGTGCCTTACTTATCAGGGGTCGCCACAGTGGAATGAACCGCCTTTGATAATACAATATATTTAATACAAATACAATATACTTTCTATAAGTCTAAAAATATTGTAGTCATTTTTTTATTATTGCAACTAGTAATAATATAACATTTTATTTAGTCTTTTAAGAATTTAATAATAATAATAATGCTATTATTATTTTTAATATTATTATTATAGATTTGATATATGGTGATATATTTTAGTGTATTTGAAATTAAATATACATTGGCATTATTATCATCATCTTATTTGATTATCTGATTTAGAAAATAATATTTAAGTAAGTTTTTGCATTCATTTATATAAAAATTGGTGACGCAGTGGTGCAGTAGGTAGTGTTGTCGCCTCACAGCAAAAAGGTTGCTGGTTCGAGCCTCGGCTGGGTCAGTTATTGTTTCTGTGTGGAGTTTGCATGTTCTCCCTGCGTACGCGTGAAAGACATTCGGTACTGGTCAATTGGATAAGCTAAATTGTCTTAAATTGTATGAGTGTGTGTGAATGAGTGTTTATGGATGTTTCCCAGTAATGGGTTGCAGCTGGAAGGGCATCCGCTGCGTAAAACATGTGCTTTATAAGTCGGTGGTTCATTTTGCTGTGGCAACCCCCGATTAATAAAGGGACTAAGCCTTAAATTATTATAATAATTCAATCATTTTCTTTCAGCTTAGTTTCTTATTTATCAGGTGTCGCGACAGTGGAATGAACCGACTATGATAATACAATATATTTAAAACAAATACAATATATTTTCTATAAATAAAAAAATATTGTCAGTCATTTTTTATTAATGTTGAAACTAGTAATAATATAAATAATATTATTATTTTATTTTAATTTAGTCTTTTAAAAGTTTAAAAATACTAATAATTTTTTTTATAATTTTTTAATAGTATAGAATTGATATATATTGGTATATTTTAATGTATTTGCTTTAATTATTATCATTCTCTTCACTGATAATAAACAATAAGTACAATAATAAGTATTTCAAATACAGTATTTATGTAACTTTACATAAATTTATATGCATATTTATAAAAATAATTAGTTTACAAAACTTGTCATTTTCTTGAAATATATATATATATATATATATATATATATATATATATATATTTATATATATATAATGTATGTATTTAGATTTTTAAAAATATATAAAATTATTAGTATTTTATTGATAATAATAATAATCATCATCATCTGTCTTTTTGTAATGAATACAGTACCGTTTTCAAATAAAATTTATTTCCCATATTATGATTTTATTTTAATTAACAGATTTAAATTAATTTATTTTTGTTATTTGTCTTTTGGATATAAATTTCAAAGCTTAAAAAAATTCCTTAGTTTCAATTATTAATTTATTTTTAAATTATTATTTCCTACATTTGTTCAGTTTATTTATTGTCGTTTTAATTACTTTTTTCATTTGTTTATTTAGTCATTCAAATTGAATTAAAATTAAAATTGTATTTGTCACATATTTAAAATGACGTAGTCAAATGCTTAGTAACAACAAAATAAAATAATAACATTCATACATTTTCTTGTCGGCTTACTCCCTTTATTAATCTGTGGTCGCCACAGTGGAATGAACGACCAACTTATCCAGCAAGTTTTTTTTTTACACAGCAGATACCTTCCTGCCGCAACCCATCTCTGGGAAACATCCACACAAACACACTCATACACTATGGACAATTTATCCTACCCAATTCACCTGTACCGCATGTCTTTGAACTGTGGGGGAAACCGGAGCACCCGGAGGAAACCCACGCAAAGGCAGGGAGAACATGCAAACTCCTCACAGAAGCGCCATCTGAGCCGAGGTTTAAACCAGCGACCTTCTTGCTGTGAGGCGACAGCACTACCTACTGCGCCACTACGTTGCCAAAATAATAACCGTAATATCTAAATTATGGAGAAACAGAAGTTATGCAAAAGTAAATAAAGGTAAATATAAAATATTTAAAGACTTTCGATATAGAGTATTTGGCTGTAGAAAATTCATTCATTCATACATGCATTCATTCATTCTTACACATGCATTCATTCATTTATTCATACATGCATTCATTCATTCATACACACATGCAATTATTCATTTATTCTTTTATTCATACATGCTTTCATTTATACACACATGCATTTATTTATTCTTTTATTCATGCATGCTTTCATTCATTCATACACACATGCATTTATATATTCTTTTATTCATGCATGCATTCATTCATTCATACACACATGCATTTATTTATTCTTTTATTCATGCATGCTTTCATTCATTCATACACACATGCATTTATATATTCTTTTATTCATGCATGCTTTCATTCATTCATACACACATGCATTTATATATCCTTTTATTCATGCATGCTTTCATTCATTCATACACACATGCATTTATATATTCTTTTATTCATGCATGCATTCATTCATTCATACACACATGCATTTGTTTATTCTTTTATTCATGCATGCTTTCATTCATTCATACACACATGCATTCATTCATTTATTCTTTTATTCATACATGCTTTCATTCATTCATACACACATGCATTCATTCATACATTTGTTCATACATGCTTTCATTCATTAATTCACTCACTCACTCACTCACTCACTCACTCACTCACTCTCACAGTATTATCTGTTGTCCTCTAGCAGGAATGCAGCAGGATGCAGTTATCAGTGAAGGCCTGATGGATTAGCTCAGAGTCTTGAAGATTGTGTCTGATGAAGAACAGGAGCAGAAGAAGCTCTTTAGTCTGAGCAGTGTGAACAAACTCCTCTGATAGTTGCTGATTCTTCGGGTTTTTGTCCTGTTTCTAGTCCAAATATCTACAAATTCTTAAATCAAGAAGCATTTTCTAGACAAGCAAAACAGTTTTCTTTTGTTTTCATAAATATTTGTCAAAATGAAGTGTTTTTTTTTTTCTTTAAACAATTAAGCAGAATTAAGTAAATTATTTCTAAGCTAAACTAGATTATCCTGCTTACCCTCTTGGCAGATTAATTTTCTTGAAATAAGGAAAAACCCACTCATTTTTGACATATTGTTTCTAAAAACAAGATAAAAACTCAAGTAAGAAACACATTCTTATTGCAGGGCAGAACATAAATACAGCAACACAAAACATGCAAAACACTAAATCTGATTACAACACTGTGTTTGACGGACCTTCCTATTACTTTAGTTTGTTTATAATTGATACCAAGGATATCTTCATTTAAAACATTTACCATAAATTTTCAAGTTATTTATGCAATGTGCTGTATTATATAATACAACAAATATATATATATATATATGTACTGGATTTTTGTCCTATTAAATTGTAATATTTATTGTATATCTGCAGCATTGTGTGGATGCTCATAACAAGTTAACAATAAAGTTTAGCACTACTATAAATATCTAAAAATAAATGAGGAAATATTTTCTAGGCAGGTAAAAACTATTGTTTTGTTTTTGGAAATAAAATTTCAAAATGAAGGTTTCTATGTAGTATCTGTTTGTACCAAAACAAGATTACTTCCACTGGCAGGTTATGATTATTTTACTTGAAAAGAGCAATAAGAAAAAAACAAAAACTCAATTTTGACTATTTCTGAAAAATAACTGTTTAAAATGTTTCTTCATTTAATATATATATATATATATATATATATATATATATATATATATAATACAATTAAATAATGAAACAATCTGATCACTTCACAATTAAATATTTATTTATTTATTTATTTTTCTATTCATTAATTTTTTTATTTCGTATTTTATTTATTTGTTTTTATTTATTTAATTATTTTTATTTGTTTATTCATTCATTTTCTTTTTGGCTTATTCCCTTTGTTAATCCGGGGTCGCCACAGCGATATGAACCGCCAACTTATCCAGCAGGTTTTTACGCCCTTCCAACCGCAACCCATCTCTGGGAAACATCCACAAACACTCATTCATACTTATACACTACGGACAATTTACCTGTACCGCATGTCTTTGGACTGTGGGGGAAATCGGAGCACCCGGAGGAAACCCACGCGAACACAGAGAGAACATGCAAACTCCACACAGAAACGCCAACTGAGCCGAGGCTCGAACCAGCGACCTTCTTGCTGTGAGGTGACAGCACTACCTACTGCGCCACTGCGTCATCCTTTGTTTATTTATTTTTATTTATTTAATATATTTTTTATTTATTTACCCATTTATTATTTAATTTATTTTTTTATTAACATTTATTTATCCATGTATTTATTTAAAATAAATTGTTATTTATTTATTTTTATTTACCCATTTATTAATTTTATTTGTTTATATTAATTTATTTGTATTTATCTATTCACTTATTTATTTATTCATTTATTTATTCATTCATTTATTTATTTATTATTTAATTTATTTATTTGTTTGTTTATTTATTTTTATTTGTTAATTTTATTTATTTGTCCATTTATTTATTTATTTATTATTTTTATGTATTTACTTATTTTTATTTATTTATTTTTGTTTATTATTTTATTTATTTTAATTTGTTTGTTTATTTTATTTGTTTATTTTTTATTTATTTATCCATTTATTTATGTATTATTTTGTTTATTTATTTATTTTTATTAATTAATTAATTAGTTTATTTTATTAGTTTATTTTTATTTATTTATATATTAATTTATTTAATATAAATTTTTATGTTATTTTTATTTATTTACCAATTTATTTATTTATTTTATTTATTTTTTTATTTATATTTTTTTAGTTATCCATTCTTATTATTCTTATTTATCCATTTATTTATTGATTCATTTATTTATTTTATTTATTCGTTCATTCATTCATTTATTTATTTATTTAATGATTCATTTGTTTGCCCCACTCGTTTTATTCATTAAAATCAGTAGAGATAAAAAAATCATCTTGCAATAAATCAGATCAGTGTGTTTTCTTGTCAATTTGATGCCTTTATAAACAGAAATCAGTAAAACTGAGACTTGCAGTGTTTTGTCTGTAGCGGTATATAAATATTTTGTCATAATTAAATAAAAAAAAAAAACAGATCACCCTCATAAAATAAAATAAAAAAGCAAATAAAAAAGTCATTTTTAGCATTTTCCCCTACTCATTTTAATTATTAAATCATTGCAGATCCCAAAATCTTCATGCAATAAATCAGAGCTGTGTCTGCCAGGCAACCTGATGCCTATAAACATCAAAGAGCTGATTTGCATGTGAATGACACCACCCCCTGCTGCTGATCAATCAACTCCTTTATCTCCACCAATCAGCTTGCAGATGTGGATTTCTGGCCATGTGAAGCTGATCAGCTGGCATTTATAAGCCTGTGTGTGTTCTTTGCTCTGTTTTTATAATCTAATAATGTTCTTGGTCCTCCTCAGAGCCTGTCTTCTGACCCTCAGTCTCTGTTCTCCTGCAGAAGATGATGGTCTTGTGCAAGAAAAGCTGTTTTTGAGCTCTATGGGACTCTGGAGTCGACCCAAACCATCGCATCATGCCGCAGTGCCATCACAGATGTGGAAAATCTTTAAACAGGCCAGCAAACAGACCGTTAATGACCCATGTGTGGTGTCTGAATATGGGGTACGAGGAAACATCGTGAGGTTTATGCAGGATCAAGGTGAGGATCTTACGGACCACACTTAAAAAGTGACTATTTATAATTTATTTATTTATAATAAAATGTTTACATTTTATATATATATATATATATATATATATATATATATATATATATATATATATATATATATATATATATATATATATATATATATATAATTATTTATTTATTTTATTTGGAAAATGCATTTTTATAAAGAGTCATTGGGGATATATATGAAGCCATCACATGTTGAGCAAGTCCATGTATTAAGAAAGGACAATTTATAGAATTTCTTTTTTCACCATCAACACTCAATTGTTTAAATTTAAAACATTTACGTGCACAAGGAATGTTTAAATTTATGTGCACAAGGTTACCATAGAAATGCAAGTTGCATGCCTTTTATTGGTGTCACGATTCAAGTTGATTCACAGTTACACACGCGTGTATTGGATGAAACATCCTTTTATTCTTATTATTATTCATTTTGCTGTAAAAAATATACAATAAAAAGATAATTTTAAATGTGTTTTCAATAGGAAGCAGATTTTTGTTGTGACAGTTTTCATTTTTTATTGAAGGGAGACTGTTGGAGAGCCACATATTTTTTATTCTGAGAGCCACATGTGGCTCCTGAGCCATAGGTTCTCTACTCCTGCTCTAGTTCATAGGTCTCAAACTGAATTCGTGGAGGGCCACAGCTCTGCACAGTTTTGCTCCAACTAGAGCTGGGCGATTTGGCCAAAAAAAATTATCAAGATTATTTTCATATCAGTCGATATCGATAATTATCACGATCTTTCAATTTTATGGTATTTTCAGCATGCAAATCTCTGTGCAGCTGATTTAACACATGTTGTGAAGTGTTTTAGCTCTCTGACAATATAAATAAGTAAAATAACAATCTTACTTCAGTATTTACCGTTCAAGTTTTCAACAAACAAAGACATTACCCTACAAGTTATTGGATATTACCATAAGAAAAAATAAAGTTTGGAACAAGTAAAAGGTGAGTTAATGGTCACAGAATTTTTCAGTTTTGGATGAACTCGTCTTTTAATGGAGAGTATGGTGAATTTAGGGTGAAATATCCTTTACTATATTTTTAGGGATGCTAAGGATTACTTGATAACCTATTGATTGTCATAACGCTTTAATCAATGACTGATTAAGCATGGACATTTAAAGGTTTAGTTTGCGCTGTGAGATGCGTCCACACATTAAATCAAGCGTGTGCAGTTTACTTATTTAGGCAGTCACCCTCTTGACACCGCATATTGCGGAACGCATAAAACCCTGTTATGCGCAGATCTCCGTTACATCTTGACCAAACTTGTCTGACAGACTGGCACGAATGGGCCAATGCAGACTCATTTTGTAAATTGTGCATCACGGCGAGACATGCGGGGAACATCTCCATTCATATGGCAAGCTTCTGAGCTTGCATCCTTCTGACTGAGTTTATTCTTCCAAGGTAATCTAAGAAAATTATAAGTTCTGCAAATAGCCTGTAAAGGCTGCCCAGTTCATGCTGCTCTAACCGCGCTTTGTTCATGAATTAAAATGTAACCCTACAAATAGTTTAATGAATTGATTTGGTGCAAAAGCAGATCATGTAGCAGTTGCTTCTCCTCAGATGTTATCCGTTCTTCTTGTTTATTCTGTAGGTAAATGACCAACCAATATATACATCAATTAAATTACACATTATACAAAACGAATTTCGTTGCAAAAAGATACATTTTCAAAAATATTTCAATAATATATATATATATATATATATATATATATATATATATATATATATATATATATATAGTTCGTGTTCATCTTAAACAACTGCAGGTGGATGATGCTTCGCTCCGTGGAAAATAAGGATTTAATTAATGATCCACTGTTGTTGTAAACGTCTGTCATATATTTGCTGCATTTGTCATAAAGATTGTCTTGAGCATCTGATTTCTCCTCAGTGATTGTCCTTTAAAAATATAAATGTTATTTTACCGTCAATGAGGATATTGTGGTTTTGTAGATTATTCTAAACCAATATCTTAATATTAAGTGAAGTTTATTCATAAACTAATTTTGAGAGGATCACTTGCTTATGATTGACACGGCTGGCCCCAGACTCGACTGATCTTGACGGCTGCTTCGCGCTCCAGTCCGTGTATCGGTGTTTGCACTGGGTGAAGAGCGGTAAGCTGAGTGCAAACCAAACGCAAATACATGGAGACTGAAGCGCGAAGCCGTGAAGATCAGTCGAGTCATCCACGCTCAGCAGCGCTTCCATGTTAGCGGAAAATAGGCGGGTTTAAACCTTCAGTACCAGGACAACACTATTACAGACACCACAAGGGTGTGCTGCAGAGGATTGCAGTGTTTATCACTCACCGGGTTACATAGGCTGAAGCAGGAAAGCGTCCTCACGGTGTTTAACTGGTGCCATGAGCTGAAGCCCAGGAGGACACTGAAGCGCATCACTGAGATTGTGATGTTGTTTGATGCTAAATTGCTTTTAATTGTTAAAATAAACTTACTGAATAATATTAAAGTGATGGTTACACCATTTCTGCATTTTAAAATCTCGGCAACAGCTGGAGGTTTATAGTACACGGCATGTTACTGCAATGTTTACAGTGCTGGACCTATACTTCCGGGTTTCTTCCCACCGCAGCCTCGCTTTGGTTCTTTAAAATGGCGGCAGCGTGAAATAAGCGTATTAACTAAGACCAGGGGCCTCATGTATCAACGCTGCGTACGCACAAAAACTTTGTATGCCAGGTTTCACGCTCAGAATCACTTACGTTTGGATTTACTAACAATGAACTGAACGTGGGAATGTGTGCAGCTCCACGGCAGCTTCATGGCTGGCGTACGCACATTTTTTGTGCGTGTCTGTTTTATTTCCATTGGCGACTCCTAGAGGCAGTTGTGTTAAATTCCTCTCTACAAAGTGTCTGAGCCTTGCAATGGCAGCTGTATGAGACGGGTTCATCTAGCAGGTATATAAGGTTTCCATACCATACAGTTCACCAGCTAAACATTAAAGCTTAAATAAAGTTTTCCCAATGTAATCTGAGCTATCTACTGCACGCACATTGCTATAAAGACACTATCTGAAGATGAATTTGCATACGTGAATCAGAAACATTTCCATTCAATAAATGTGCAAATAAAATATGATGCACAAACTTATTGATGATTCCTACTTATCTTTCTCGTGATAAATAGTTGGCAAAATCTGATATGTAGCGGGGAAAAAAAAGGAGTTCATCAGACGCTGGATTCAAGCCGAGTTCATGCTCGAACGTGTCAATTCATGATCACATGCGTCTTACGAGCGCACCACTGAGACTGTTTAGGGTACTGCAACACTTTACAGATATAAACCACTCTATATCTTTTTTTTAATGCACTCAGTGCGATGTTCAGACCCAACTGTGTTGACCGCATCAGCTAAACTCTCCCCACTCTATTTTTTTTCTTTTGTTGTTAATTCCGGAGAACAAACTTGCAAATAACACAGCTTTTCTCCGGTCTACCTCCGAAAGCAGCACCTCCATTTCACATTCTGTTCAAAGTTTCTCTTTTTGCTTGCTTTTGACATTGCTTTTTCGTTGGGTTTTTCCATTAGCATAGTCATTAGTATATTCATACGGGGGAGGAGGCAGGGAGGGGTTTTGTGCTCGTGCATGTTGCGCTCAGTTTCACGTTCATTCGGATGTACAAAAGAATATGCGTGAGATTCGGCGTACGCAGTTTCATACATCTGAATTTTTTTCTGCGTACGCACATTAACAGCTTTGTGCGTACGCAATGTTTTAGTAAGATTTCCACGGAAGTCTTCGTACATGAGGCCCCTGGACACCACGTGATAATTACAGGCAGGCGTGTTTGATATGGGTTGCAACTGAAATCTGCAGGAAGGTGGCTCTCCAGGAACAGGGTTGGCCACCCCTGCTCTAGTGTGACCGCTGCATAACTTGTCGCATGAGCTTGCGTGTCTGGTCTGTTGCATTCGCATGCGTATGAATAGAAGTCTATGGGGTGAAGTTCATGCTGAGCGTGGCTTTAATTAAAGGTGTAATACGTGTCACCTATACGCACAATTGTTGAACCAAGTTAAAAGGTGAGTACATATAACTGTTCCCTGCTGAAAAATCCAGCTTAAACCAGCCTAGGGTGGTTGGCTGGTTTTAGCTGGTCAACCAGGCTGGTTTAAGAGGGGTTTTGTCCTCTTCCAGGCTGGTTTCCAGCCAGGTCTTAGCTGGTCAGGCTGGAAAATGACCAGCTAAATCCAGCTAAAACCAACTTGACCAGCCTAGCCAGGCTGGGAACCCAGCCAAAACCAGCTATGTCCAGCTTAAAACAGGTTGGTCAAGCTGGTTTTACCTGGATGTAGCTGGTTATTTTCCAGCCTGACCAGCTAAGACCAGGCTGGAAATGGCTGGAAACTAGCCTGGAAGTGGCCAAAACCCCTCTAAAACCAGCCAACCAGCCTAGGCTGATTTAAGCTGGATTTTTTTAGCAGGGTTACCTTTACATTTCTATTTAAACTATTGGTTTAAATGAACACTTTCTACAAATAAACCTGTTGCATTATTAAACGTTTTGTTATGTGTTTCTCTCAAACAGGTAGTCTGATATCAGCGCCGGCCGTCCACAGCTTTAACTGTGTGCGAAAGCATCTGTTTTTCAACATGTCTGTGCTGGAGGAGGTTGAGCAACTCTCGTTGGCGCAGCTGGAAATGAAGTTCAAACAGGATCTGCTTCTCCTGGGCCCGCATGTGTTCAGCGTCGACCTGTACAGAGTGTTAAAAACCACACTGAAGGGAGTAACGCATGAATCCAGCCGAAAACTCCTCCAATCTCAAACGCTCAGTCCTGGAGCTCACGCTTCAGTGCTGGTCAACCTGACCAATCTGGCCCAATCCTGGAGGAAACCGGAGAAAAACTTTGGCATGCAGTTAGAATTGCAGGTCATGCATTTAAACAACATGCTTCATGATCACGCGTATGTTCAAATCCCAGATATACATGCCACTCTAGTAGTAGTTTCATTAAACCCACTTCAGTGCAGGTCCAGAAGGAAGAGAAGTGCTTCATATTACCTCCCCGTTACTCCCAGTAACGTCTGCAAACCCAGAAGGCTCTATATTGATTTCAAAGATGTAGGCTGGCAGGATTGGATCATTGCACCTCAGGGATATTTAGCTAATTATTGTCATGGAGAGTGTCCTTTTCCTCTGAGCGAGAGTTTGAATGGGACTAACCATGCTATCCTGCAGACGCTGGTCCATTCGTTTGATCCTAAAGGAACACCTCAGCCCTGTTGCGTTCCCATCAAACTGTCCCCCATCTCCATGCTCTACTATGACAATAATGATAATGTGGTGCTCAGACATTATGAAGACATGGTGGTGGATGAGTGTGGATGCAGATGAACATGACTTAATTTTTAAATGCACAATTTGTTTATTACAATTTTTCTTTTTTTAGGTGTGGATTAATGCAAAATTAGGCTTCTTTTTAGATGCAGAGAATGTGCATGTAGATGCTGTTAAAGTAACTTTTTATAATTCATTGTAATGTAATAATAAAAACTTTTACTATGGGATTCCTTTTTTTTCATTTACAAAGTATATACATAAAACTGATGCATGTTTGAAGGTTTTATGAAGACAAATGAAGGTCACTTTATTTTGACGGTCCGTTTGTTAAACTTGGTTACATTGTAACACTCGTCTTTAAATCAACGGGATACACAAGAAAAAAATAAAAGATCTGGTTCAATTCTCTAGTTTCTGTATTCAAATTTTATCATGGATTGAGAGATAGTTTATGTAATAGAACCACAAATGTCTCAGAACAAGTCCTAACAATGAAACAAAAACACAAACAACATTTATACAATAATATAATACAAAAATGGTGAGTGAGGGTAAGTGTGTATGTATTTATATGTGCAAAGTCCAAAGTCCGTAGATGAGAGTATATGCAAAATGAATTGTTCTCACCCGAAAAATTTGAGTCCAGATAATTGTACCATCTTAAGTTGCAAGTGTCCTCTTAGGTAGGGATGGCTGACGTGAAACTGATGTTTCGACACAGTGTCGAGATCCCGAAGCGCAAGTGTTTCGAAACACTGCACCGAAGCATGATCCGAAGCACCCAAGTCACGTGACTAAAGTGTTTCGAAACACCTAGTCACGTGACTAAAGCGATTCAAAGCATCGATCAGCTTAGAAACGTTTCGAGACCTGGCGAATCCTCATTTGACTGCCAAGGTCATCAAACAATCTCTGTGTCATAAGGCTTAGAGGACTGTGTGTTTGCTTATTGATCTTATGCTTTGCATGATGTTTTGGGTTCGAATCCCGACTTGTACAAATACTCTGAAATCATGGTTTTATGTATTTTAATCATGTTTCTGTTTTGTGTAGCCTAAATAGGATACAGCTGCAGTTACGCCATCAATTTAGCATCATTTTGTAACACTGTAAAACAATAATAAATATTTTTACAGTATGGATGGCTTTAGGTAGACATTAATAAAATACAATAAATGGGAAATTTAATGAATAATATAAATAATTCTTGATAACTTCAGGCCACCGTTTTTGATCTAGCAACAACCCTGTTTTAAGACAAAAACAAGACATATTTATTCACAAATTGTTCATTCGGATATCAGACCAATGTTGAAACAAAACGATACAAGAGCAAAGCAGTACCAATTGATTTTAAAGCATTTCAAAACAACTGTCATAGTCTGGCTTCGAAATCTATGAACCCCGCATGGAAGTCTGACACCTTAACCACTATACTATGTTACTTTAAGGATTCAGTATACAAAGTGTGACTTAATCCCTCAATTTGTTCAACTGTTCATTGCTGAAGCTGTTTTAGTGCAATACATAAAAAATGACCACTAGATGTCACTGTAGAGTGGGGTTTCGAAACGTTTCGAAGCTTCGACACATTTGCTTCGACTGTTTCAGTGTTTCACGAAGCCTCGCTTTGGCCACCACTACTCTTAGGATAGTCTTTACTTCAGACTTGAATGACTAACAAGTCTAAAAAGGCAAAAAATCCACACAAATGATTGTCCTTCGCACACGAAAACAAGAAAAAAGGTAGACCTTGGCAAACTCTTACTCCATGTGCTCCTCTGACTAGGGATGGCTGACGTGAAACTGGTGTTTTGACACAGTGTCGAGATCCCGAAGCGCAAGTGTTTCGAAACACTGCACCGAAGCATGATCCGAAGCACTCAAGTCACGTGACTAAAGTGTTTCGAAACACCTAGTCACGTGACTAAAGCGATTCAAAGCATCGATAAGCTTAGAAACGTTTCGAGACCTTGCGAATCGTCATTTGACTGCCAACGTCTTCGATCAGTCTCTGTCTCATATGGCTTAGAGGACTGTGTATTTGCTAAATTATTATGTGCTTTGCATGATGTTTTGGGTTCGAATCCCAACTTGTACAAATACTCTGAAATCATGGTTTTATGTATTTTAATCATGTTTCTGTTTTGTGTAGCCTAAATAGGATACAGCTACAGTTATGCCATCAATTTAGCATCATTTTTGTAACACTGTAAAATGATGGTTGGGTTTAGGGTTAGGGTAGACATTAATAAAATACAATAAATGGGAAATTTAATGAATAATATAAATAATTCTTGATAACTTCAGGCCACCGTTTTTGATCTAGCAACAACCCTGTTTTAAGACAAAAACAAGACATATTTATTCACAAATTGTTTATTCGGATATCAGACCAATGTTGAAACAAAACGATACAAGAGCAAAGCAGTACCAATTGATTTTAAAGCATTTCAAAACAACTGCGACAGACTGGCCTTGAAACCTACTAACCCTGCATGGAAGTCGGACACCTTATCCACTGTACTATGTTACTTGAGGACTTTGTGTACAAAGTTGGGTTTAATGCCTCAATTTGTTCAATCGTTCTTTGCTGAAGCTGTTTCAGTGCAATACATTAAAAAATGACCACTAGATGTCACTGTAGAGTGAGGTTTCGAAACGTTTCGAAGCTTCGACACATTTGCTTCGACTGTTTCACGAAGCCTCACTCACTTTGAGTATGTTATGTGAATGTGTATATATAGTAAAAGATCAACAGAACAGGAAATAGAACACCGATACATTCACCTCACCTCATCCCTTCAAAATAAAGAATCTAAAATAAAAGTCCATTACTCATTTGTATATTCGGAGCTTTAAGAACCGTGAGTATGCTTTACTGCCAGGCCTATTCACACATTTAATGAACATAACAGAAAGCATACCTCAATTATGTGGCAGCGCTACAACATTGCATCTAAGTGAAGTTTCACAAACTAGTTTGAGAGGAGCACATGATGGGAGTGACTACAGTTGATCATTAATCACTAACTAGCCAATCGGATCATTGCAAATTTAATATAAATATCCAGTTAAAGCTGCGGTCACACTGGGGTTTTCCTCACATAGACTTCCATTCATGCACACGCGAATGCGTCAGACCGGAAACGCAGAGTCATGCGTTACGTTTTGTAGGTTGCTGCGGTGCAAAGTTCAAGCTTAATGAACTCTGACCTGCAAAATCGCATTAGTTGACAGCGTGAGACCAATCGAGGATCAAAACGTGACCTCTCTGGACAGAAATTTAAATTTTTAATGCCTGATAATCTTGTTTATTCCCGCCCCTTTTCACAGCGCCGCACGACAGAATTTCGCACACACAAACTCTAGTGTGACTGTAGCTTATAGCTGCCATCACACTTGACTTTTCTTCACATAGACTTCCATTCATACGCACCCTAATACGTCAGACCGGAAACGCAGGGTCATGCGTTAAGTTTCGATGCGGTGCAAAGTTCAAGCTTTGTGAACTCTAAAGCTGGGGTCACACTAGAGTTTGATGATGTGAAATTCTGTCGTGTAGAGCTGTGAAAAGGGGCAGGTTTAAACAAGATTATCAGGCATTAAAGAGCGAGCGATTGCTCCATGTTTTAAATTTCTGTCCAGAGAGGTCTTGTTTTGATCCTCGATTGGTCTCACGCAGTCAAGTGATGCGATTTTGCTGGTCAGAGTTCACCAAGGCTGAACTTTGCACCGCAGCAACCTACGAAATTTGACACGACACTGCATTTTCAGTCTGATGTATTCGCGTGCGTATGAATGGAAGTCTATGTGAAGAAAAGTCAAGTGTGACGGCATCTATAAGCTACAGTCACACTAGAGTTTGTGTGTGCAAAATTCTGTCGTGCGGCGCTGCGAAAAGGGGGGGGGGGAATAAACAAGATTATTAGGCATTAAAAAGCGAGTGATTGCTCCATGTTTTAAATTTCTGTCCAGAGAGGTCACGTTTTGATCCTTGATTGGTCTCACGCAGTCAACTGATGTGATTTTGCTGGTCAGAGTTCACCAAACCTGAACTTTGCACCGCAGCAACCTACGAAATTTGACACATGACGCTGCGTTTACGGTCTGACTCATTCGCGTGCGTATGAATGGAAGTCTATGGGGAGACAAGTCCAGTGTGACCGCAGCTTAACCTGCGAAATTGCATCACTTGACAGCGAGACTAATCGAGAATCAAAACAAGACCTCTCTGGACATGAATTTAAAATATGGAGCAATCGCTCGCTTTTTTTAATGTCTAAAAATCTTGTTTAATCCCGCCCCTTTTCGCAGCACCGTACGACAGAATTTTGCACACACAAACTCTAGTGTGACCGCAGCTTTAAACTTCATTCCTCATCTGTCCCTTCTCCCTCCTCCTCAATTGGTTTGGGTGACATGGTGGCTCAGTGCTAGCACTGGTACCCCACAGAAAGGAGGTTGTTGGTTTAACACTAGGTGAGCCAATCGGCACTCTCTGTGCAGAGTTTGCATGTTCTCTCCGTGCTCGCGTGGGTTTTTCCCGGGTACTCCGGTCTCCTCCCACACAAAAAAACATGCAACAAAAAGTTAGTCACAAGCACCTATTATCTGAAATTAGCGGTCTATTCTTGGGAAGTTATCGAGAACTACCTGATCTTGTATCCCTCCTAATGCTCATTGACCAGGCGGGAGCCTTGGGCTCATCTTTCTTTGAGCTCAGGGTTCTCTCTCGGGACAGCATGCCAAACCTGCTAAAAAAGTCAAGCATTATCTAAGTGTGAACTCTTGAAAAGCCAACTAATTCTCATACGATTATAAGTAGACCATTAAGGTGGGGTTGTTTAAGTTGACGTGTGCTTGGAAAGTTTCTTATAGTCAGTTAAATGTCTGTTGAAGGAGCAGTATCAGCAGATATTAAGCAGACAGTCTACTAATACTCAAATGGACCAAAACAAAGTGTTAGCCAGATGAAATTCCTACACTAAAGAATTACATAAATGTCAGCTGTTCTTAAACCGTTGAATACAGAATAAGTTTTTGAATTATGGTGTACATACCATAAAAATAGGAAAAGTTCATAAGTAAAGACCTCTAAATCCACTCAATATTTTTTTAACTTAGTTAAAATGAGCTGAAACAACACAATCCTTGAAATTTCATTGGTACAACTTAATTAATTTAAAAAAAAAATGTTGTTCAATTCAAATAAATTTAAGTTAACTTGGGGTGCTGTCACACCTAGACTTTTGTTTCAGAACCGGTCTCGTTTGCCCAGTTAGCGCGGTTCGTTTAGCATATGTGAATCCATCAATCGCGCTCAGATCTGCACCAAAACAATCGCTCCGAGATCACTTTAATGAGGTGGTTTCGACTTGACTGAAATGAACTCGGGAGTGGATTGATTGGAGTGAGAAAGCGATATGATCCGAGTCCAGTTGTATCACAGTGTTTTATGGATATGTAATAGGCATACAGCTATATGAAGTGAGAATTATGAGTAGGGCGGGAGGTCATTCCCAACATCCCAAGTCTCCCGAAAGTTTCGTGAGTCTCTTGCACAGAGACTCCCGGATGCCCGCAAACCAGTGATACTCTTATGTGACTTGTTTTAGCTCTTTTGGATCGTTTAGAAACTTTGTAACTTTGAGAAACAATGTAACTAAATCGATTCACAGATGTGAAAGCACCCTAAATCAATTTGTTTTGCGACAACATGAATTGTGTTCCTTGCATTGTTTACAATGTTCTCCTAATAAATATTTATATATATATATATATATACAGTGCTCAGCATAATTATGTGCATCGCATTTTGAAAATGAATATTTTTTTATCAATTTCTCAGGCAATGTATTTTGGTGCATTTAAGCAAAACAGATCTAATAAACAAATATATTTATTAAAATAATATTACAGTCATCAAACCTATTAAGAAATTGCAAGACAATACAATTAAGTTCAAGGTAAGTATTGCAAAAATAAATTATAACGTACAACATTTTTGTCTATTTATTTATTTGTTTGTTTAATATTTGCTTCTCTTCATTTTTCTTTGTTCAGCATTTTTTTTTTAAATTGTATTAAATATTTTTCTTTAACACTGGGATGTCCAAACATGGTCCTGGAAGGCTGGTGTCCTGCAGAGTTTAGCTCCAACCCCAATTAGACTCACCTGAACCAGTTGATCAACCTCCAACTAGCATACTACTAGATAACGATTAGAAACATCTATCTGAGCAGATATTTTCACCATTTCCATTCATAATAGTTTAATAACTCATTTCTAATAACTGACTTTATTGTATCTTTGCCATGATGACAGTAAATAATATTTGACTAGATATTGTTCAAGACACTTCTATACAGCTTAAAGGGACATTTAAAGGCTTAACTAGGTTAATTAGGTTAACTAGGCAGGTTAGGGTAATGAGGCAAGTTATTGTATAACGATGGTTTGTTCTGTATAGACTATTGAAAAAATAGAGCTTAAGGGGGCTAATAATTTTGACCTTAAAATGGTTTTGAAAAAATTAAAAACTGCTTTTATTCTTGCCAAAATAGAACAAATAAGACTTTCTCCAGAAGAAAAAATATTATCAAACATACTGTGAAAATTTCCTTGATCTGTTAAACATTATTTGGGAAATATTTAAAAAAGAAGAAAACTTCAAGTATTATACATGGATCATGCACTATATATATATATATATATATATATATATATATATATATATATATATATATATATATATATATATATATATATATATATGGTGCGACATTTATGCTCTTCTATTTAATGCATTACTTTTTATATTGTCTCGTATAACTGTAGCTGTTACACAGATCGATTTCGATTTGAGTGTGTGCGCTACAACGTTATTTAATTGCATTTACTGCCATTTAAAAATATTATGTCATCAAATAAACGAGTTTCACTCGTGAGAAACTTACTAAAGTAATGAATCTAACACTGTAACTTCACGCGTTGTAGCTTCTGTTCTCCACAGGTTGGCGCACTGGCTCTGAATATGAGCGCTGTGTAGCAGTGAGCGTCCTCGACTAAACTTAGTTAATGATCGTCCAGGATCTAAATATAATGTCAAATCACATTAAAGTGACAGTGTTACGGATTAATTTAATGAAACGCTTAAAGACATATAAGGTCTGCATGTGTTTTATTAAACTTGATAAACGATATTGGTCAACCATAAACTTCCCTTAAGTTTCCCCCCTCCAGTTACATAATTAGAAGATCTCTGAGCTCTCCAAAAGAGCGTTTAACCACATGAACCCGTTCGTGTCCAGAGCTGATGAATTCTGTAGTGACATCAGAGAGTTAAACATAAAGACACACGAGGAGAGAAAGAGAGGGAGAGACTTGCGCGCAGTGCGTAAAGGACACACGCGTACCCAAAGCCTCGCGTTTCGCTCTCTTCAAGCCAACAAACGCTTGCTCTTTTCAACAGCACTTCCATACCTGTGCTTTCCTCGGTTTTACCTCAACAAACAAAACACCTACAGCTTTATCAGTGTGACGGATGAATGTGCAAGAAGAGTCGGGCGTTCCTGTGGAAATCTCCCACTGTTTTCCACCAGATAAACAGCCCTTTTCTTTGCTGAAATTTTGAAGATGGGAATTATGAAAGAGGATCAACTTTTTATGAAGACCCCTTCAGACCGCATTGGATTCCATCGCGCCGCAAACTGGAGATCAACAAACACGCGTTTGGAGTTTTAACCGGATCTGAAGAGACCAAATCTCTGATGTGTGAACACTTACTTCGCTGAAAGAGCATACGCTGGTGCTTTTGGTCACTTTTGAAACTAGCATTATGACAGGCTTCGCCTTCTGGAACATCAAGTTGGTTTTATATTCGCACATTGGTTCATTTTAATATTGTTTACCATATTGACATATTATTTATATTTGCATATTCAGTCTGAAATCGCAAGTATGACTTCAAAACTATTTAGTGGACTGTGAACTATGAGTAGTCATTGGCTGCTAATATGATCTCCCCTTTTATCAAACTGCACTTATATTATTAAGGAGAAAGTCTGGATGTGCGCAACCAACTTCACATCAGTTCATGGAAGACCCTCTTGTATCCGGATGGTCGCGCTCCTCACAGCGGCTCTGATGAAGGATCCTCCAAAAGACTCGCAATGGCTCGATCAAAAACGCAATATAAGCTCTCATCTCCTGGCCTGAGCCCGTCTGATCTCCTTCGTCAGTGATCTGTCCGGTTTGCAGAGATCATCATGGTCTCGTCCACCGCCGCGCTAATGGTTCTGATGGTCACTCAGGTGTTTTTTGCGGGCTCCAGTGGACTCGTTCCTCAGGTCGGCCGGTCCTCTCTGTCTCCGGACGTCCTGCACGCGTTTGAACTTCGGCTTCTGAGCATGTTTGGGCTCCAGCACAGACCCACTCCCAGCAGCTCCGCAGTGGTTCCTCAATACATGCTGGACTTGTACTCGGCGCACTCCGTGAACGCAGAGCAGGTTAGCAGACCCAGAGCTCACTTAGGGAAAGGCTCCGAGAGATCCGCCAGCAGAGCCAACACTATCAGGAGCTTCCACCATGATGGTAAGCAAGTGTTTACTTCTCTAGAAACTTCTCCAAATTCCTTTTTTCCCCTCCTTATCTGCTGTATCCTTCATGCCTGACAGGGACTGAGATTATCTACAGACTGATTGATCAGGAAATGGCAGTCTGTTGTTTTTGTTTATTTATAATGCATGTTACAGGTGGATTTAATACTTATTATTCATATTTATTACTTTTATTTTACTATTTACCATTTATATTCTCTGACTAACTTCCGATTTCTGATACAGAAATAATAATAAAAACAATAACTGAAGTAATATTAATAGTAGTTCATTTTTTTACCCTACTCATTTAAATTATCAGCAGAAAAAAAAAGTGTTGTTGGGGGTTAAGACTTTTGAACACTTTTATTCCTACAGTATACAACCCAACAGTATACTTCATCTAATAAAATGAGTTTAGTGAACTCAATTGACTGAAAGTTAATTCTACTCATTTGAAAAGAGTTTTGAACTCAGCGTTGAAGGTAATGAGTTAATTAAATACCTCATTCAACTTAAATGAAGTAATTTCACAGTACTCGTATAGATTAGTTTTTTTTAACTCGAATGGTCTGTTGTAAACTATTTGAGTTGCCTTACCTTATTGGGTTTTACTGTTCTCATTGCTTCGTTTAATCAAATGGATTAAGTTTACAGTACTCATTAGCATTAGTTTTGAACTTAAATGGTTTTTTGCAATCGGTTTCCTCAAACGGTTTGAGTTGCCTTAACTTATTGGTTTTTTACAGTACTCAGTTGGTTTGAGTTCTCTTCATTTATCGTGTTTTACTGTGCTTATATTGCTTCATTTACTCAAATGTATTAATTTCACAGTACTCATTAGCATTAGTTTTTGAAATTAAATGGTTTGAGTTGCTTTAACTTTTTGGGTTTTACAGTGTAATGCATGTTAAAGGTGGATTTCATACTTATTCGTATTTATTACTTTTATTTTACTATTTACCTTTTATATTTTCTGACTAACTTCTGATTTCTGATACAGAAATAATAATAAACAACTCATCATTGAAGTTATATTAATAGTAGTTATTTTTTTTACCCTTTATATGGTCCTCATCTAAATAATTAGCAGAAAAAAATGTTTTGCTGGGGGTTAAGACTTTTGAACACTTATTCCTACACTGTAAAACCCAACAGTCAACTTTAATGAAATGAGTGTAGTGAACTCAACATTGACTGAAAGTTACTTCTACTCATTTGTAAAGAGTTTTGAACTCAGTGTTGAAGGTATTGAGTTTATTAAATACCTCGTTACCTCAACTTAAATGGAGTAAGTTCAAAGTACTCATATAGACAAGTTATTTATTTTTTTTTAACTCAAATGGTTTGTTGCAATCGGTTTCCTCAAACGTTGCCTGAACTTATTGGGTTTTACAGTACTCTGTTGATTTGAGTTCTCTTCATTTATTGGGTTTTACTGTGCTCAAATTGCATCATTTACTCTAATGGATTAAGTTCACAGCACTCATTAGCATTAGTTTTTGAACTTAAATGGTTCGTTGGAATCAGTTTTTTTTTTAAATGGTTTGAGTTACCTTGACTTTTGGGGTTTTACAGTGTAATGAGTGCTTTGAGCATACTCCATTTGAGTAAACGAAGCAATTTGAGCACAGTAAAACCCAATAAATGAAGAGAACTCAAACCAACTGAGTACTGTAAAACCCAATAAGTTAAGGCAACTTAAACCATTTGAAGAAACCGATTGCTACAAACATTTGAGTTAAACTAATGTATATGAGTACTGTGAACTTACTCCATTTAAGTTGAAGTAATAAGGTATTTAATGAACTCAATACCTTTAACACTGAGTTCAAAATGAGTAGAAGTAACTGTCAGTCGATTTCACTCATTACATTTGATAAAGTTGACTGTTGGGTTTTACAGTGTAATCAGTTCATTAAATATCTCATAACTTCAACTTAAATGGAGTAAGTTCACAGTACTTATACATGTATTGATTAGTTTAACTCAAATGGTTTGTAGTCTTTACCGATTTGAGTTGCCTTAACTTATTGGGTTTTACAGTACACAGTTGGTTTGAGTTCTCTTCATTTATTAGGTTTTACTGTGCTTATATTGCTTTGTTTACTCAAATGGATTAAGTTCACAGCACTCATTAGCATTAGTTTTTGAACTTAAATGGTTTGTTGCAATCAGGTTTCCTCAAATGGTTTGTTACCTTGACTTTTCAGGTTTTACAGTCTATATGCAAGTTATAATGTTATAGGTGGATTTTTAATTATTACTTTTATTAAATAATTAAAAATAATTAATGTAAATAATTATTTTGATTTTTTTTCTAATTTTGTACCTACAGTACTTATTATTTTTCTTTTAATTTAAGCTATAATTATTTTATTATTTATAGGGTACTTATTTAAATAATCACCCGATTGACTTTTGAAGACATTTATGGCTTAAATTATTTATATATATTGTAATCAATGTCAATGAAGTGACCATATATGGTTCTTCACCCAATAAAAGATTAATAGCATTATTAAACATCAATCCTTTAAGTACTTGTTTTGCTGATGTCATTTTAAAAGATATCTTTATTTAATATTCATTCATTTTAATTCCAGCTTAGATCCTTTATTAATCAGGGGTTGCCACAGCGGAATGAACCGCCTATTTAAAATGTTGTTTCCATAATAGATTTCAGGTTAAACTTAAAATGCATGACATCTCCTGTTTTGTTAGTTTACCACCTCTTAAGTAATCATGTTGTGCTTTAGTAACGCTGATAACTTATCACTTATTAAGCATTTTAAAGAGCAGCATGTCCAGTAAAAGTCTCACCCTGTCAATGAGTGTAAACAACAAGAAGTTTGACACAGTACAAACTACTGGCATTGATCCAGACAGCCACATCTTCCCATAATCCTTTTCCCTTTCTTTTTTTCCCCCAATGCAAACTGGATCCAGAATCTACAGAAGATCTGTCCAGCTCCAGTGTTAGGACGACGCAGCGGTTCCTCTTCAACCTGACCTCCATCCCAGACGAGGAGTTGGTGACGTCAGCAGAGCTGCGCGTTTTCAGAGAGCAGATCGTGAGTTCGCTAAACAACGCAAGTGCGGGATTTCACCGCATTAACGTTCACGAAATCATCAGGCCGTCCGGTTCTCTTCAGGAGCCCATCACTAGACTCTTGGACACCAGGCTTGTTCAACACAGCTTGAGCAAATGGGAGAGCTTTGACGTAACTCCTGCTGTATTAAAGTGGACCACAGACGGACACCCTAACCATGGGATATTGGTGGAAATATCACACCCAGATCAAGACTCCAGAAAACATGTGCGCGTAAGTCGGTCCCTTCACAACAATGAGGACACGTGGTCTCAAATGAGGCCGCTTTTGGTGACCTACAGCCACGATGGAAAGGGAAACGTGCTGCATTCTCGTGAAAAACGACAAGCGAGGAATAATAAGCAGAGAAAGAAGCATAAAGCAAACTGCAGGAGACATTCCCTGTACGTGGACTTCAGCGACGTAGGCTGGAATGACTGGATTGTGGCGCCGCCGGGTTACCATGCATTCTACTGCCAGGGCGAGTGCCCGTTTCCACTGGCGGACCACTTGAACTCCACTAACCACGCTATCGTGCAGACACTGGTGAACTCGGTGAACAGCAACATTCCCCGAGCCTGCTGCGTGCCCACTGACCTCAGTCCGGTTTCTCTGCTATATCTGGACGAGTACGAGCGGGTCATCTTAAAAAACTACCAGGACATGGTGGTGGAGGGATGCGGGTGCCGCTGACGCCACCCCCTGACACTTTATTTTTGTTTCCCGACACTAAACTTTATTTATAATAAAGTAAACACATATTTTGGAAAGTATATAAAATATATTTATGTTCACTATTGGGAAAATAAATATTTTAATCAGAGTTGAAGGCTTCTGATGTGCTTTTCCATTAGTTCCAGTATTATTATGCAACTGTTTTGTCCATGCACTATAGAGCTGTAATCGAGCCATAAAAACTAGCCGGATAGTGCCCGAGGGTGCTTTCACACCTGCCTTATTTAGTTCGATTGAATCGCACTAGAGTTCGTTTTCCCTCTTGGTGCGGTTGGTTTGGGCGGGTGTGAATGCAGAGTGCGCACCAAAAGCGGACCAAATAAGCGTACCGAGACCTGCTTGAAGAGGTGGGCATGGTACGCTTTCAAACGAACCCTGGTGCAGTTCGTTTGTTGTGAGAATATGATCCGTACTAAAACAGGTCAAGCCACAAAAAGTACTGCACCTTTTGGATTAATTCAGCTGCGGTAGGCAGATGCGCTGTGCATTATGGGATATGGAGGAAAAATATTTGTTGACAGCATTTTACCAACAGAGAGAGAGAGAGAGAGAGAGAGAGAGAGAGAGAGAGAGAGAGAGAGAGAGAGAGAGGGGGGAAACATTAGTTGAGGGATCGTTGGTAAAAGGTAGGGGTGTCACGATTTCGATTTTTAATCGAAATCGATCTAAATTTATGCTCAATTTCGATTATCGAATCAAAAAATAGAATCGTCGATGCTGCCATGCCCCCATGTCACGTCAGCTTGTCTTGCCAAGCGGGAAAAAACAGGCTTGTTGAAGTGCTTGTTAAACTGCTGAAGCAGGAGACCCGTCGACAGAACTTAAACCCTCTCCTCTTTCAATGAAGTGTGTAAGCATTTTGGATTTCCAGTGAGTTATGTTGACAACGTTTGTGTTGTCGACAAAAAAAACACAGTTTTGCTCTGATATGTACATATTACGTACGGTTTGTCCGATAGACAACACCGGCATCGCGATCCTCCGCCCGCCCCCGTTGCAAATCCGCTCGCGAAAAGTACACACTCAGGCCCTGTTTACACTGTCTTTGTTTTTAAATGGCATTTTAGAACGACAACGATTTGACATCCACAGTGGCGTGTAGCATTTCTGAGCAGCCCTCCTTCCTCTCTACCTCTGACACACACAGACGCACACACACAGCCGCTCGAGACAGCAGGTTCAGGCAGTCAGAGGACTGCTTCAATCTTTCACTCACTTGTACTTAGTCATTTTAGCGAACACCTCAGATACTGTTGGCTGGTTTCTGTTGGTTGTGCGTCTTTTTTTACCGACGCCATTATAACGACACAGATCACTGCCTATTCACGAGTCCCGCAGAAAAAAGTGATTGACAGGTGGTTATTATGTGTGTATCTTGCCTTTATTCATTTACTGTATGATTTGTTTATGGGTAAAACAAAGACCATGCAGGTCAGGTAGTTTAAACAGTAGGCTACAAATAATGAATTGGTTATTAATTAATTAATTATTCATAATCAAAAATCGAATCGAATCGTGACTTTAGAATCGAAAATGCAATCGAATCGAGGATTTGGAAGATCGTGACACCCTTAGTAATAGGGCTGCTCGATTTTGGAAAAAATCATAATCACGATTATTTTGGTCATAATTGTAATCACGATTATTCAAAACGATTATCAGTTGAAGTCAAAATTATTAGCGCTCCTGAGAATTTAGTTTTTTAAAATAACTATTTACCAAATTATGTTAAACAGAGCAAGGAATTTTAACAGTATTTCCTCTATTCTTTTCTTCTGGAGAAAGTCTTATTTGTTTTATTTTAGCAAGAATAAAAGCAGGTTTAAATATTTTGAAACCCATTTTAAGGTCAATATTATAAGCCCCCTTAAGCAATATATTTTTTGATTGTCTGCAGAAGAAACTACTGTTATACAATGACTTGCCTAATTACTCTAATTAAGTCTTTGAACTGCACTTTAATCTGAATGCTTGTATTTTGAAAAACATCTAGTAAAATGTTATGTGCTGTCATCATAGCAAAGATAAAAGAAATCAGTAATTAGACATGAGATATTAAAACTAGTATATTCAGAAATAAGTAAAAAAAAAATCTTGAAAAAAGAAATTGGAGGAAAAGGGTTGCTAATATTCAGGAGGGCTAATAATTCAGACTTCAACTGTATATATACAGGTATTTTCCACCCTGCAAAGGAAAGAGAAATAAATACAATAGAATAAAAATATGAAACAAACTGTGCTTTAAGCATCTTCACCCTAAGAAAAACACTTTAGCTACAAAAATCCTTCAGTCAAGAGCAGTGAGGGATGTTCTCGTCGTTTGATTAATGATAAAACAGGCAGCAGCATTTCACACTGTCACTTTAATGGTTTCTCTTTCACGTGTCTTTTGATTCTCAACTCGTTTGTTTATTACACAAATGAGGGTTAATATGAATAATCACTAATCACTGCGTTTTGACACCTATTTGACCAGTAAATCGCTCGCGTTAAGATAACTTTAGATGTCTGCGCTCATCTGCTCATCTCAGTGTGCGAATGAGACCGAATGCTGACCGCGTGCTTAAATGTGTGCGCGTGTTGCACACACACATAAGCATGCGGTCTTTCGCGCTTTTGGTATATGATGCAATAATCGTATATCTCGATTAATGGTTTTTCATAATCGTTAGAAGCTATAATCGAAATCGGATTTTCGATTAATTGCACAGCCCTAGTTGGTAATATTTCCGCAAGATGAGCATGTTGCAGTTTAGCTAAATTAATTCACGTCTCCTCCTGAAGTGACGCGCGATGCAGTAAAACCCTGTTTTCCAGCCGCAGCCGCGCTTCATTCTCTAAAGCAGGGATACAATTATCCAGCGCAGTCGTCCCTTCATAGTAAAAAGCGAAATTTTTTGTCTGCCGTTTTTGTTCACTTGCGGGAGTTCATTGGCATTTTCCCGCACGTGAATTCTGACCAATCAATAAGCAGTTTAGGAAATATGTTCAGCAACATCTGGCCAATGAGAGATGTGGATTTTGTCAGATGACTGCATTTTGGTTCGTTTCAACTGGTTCGGACCAAAGCCAGCAGTGTGGTGTGAAAACGACCCAAAGACGGCAGAAGATGCAACAATGTATCATTTATTACCCTTGGTGCAGACCAAATGAAGCGAACTACAGATGTGAAAGCTCCCCGAGCCTGACAGAATTCGGCCTGCAGCATGACAGCTTTATTAACAGCTATTTATAAGCCCGAACCTGTTTATAGCCCGACATTATTCATATGTGCTCAAGCACACAGCTCTTTTGCCTTTTTTCGAGAATGAGTCGTTTATATGTTTTAACATAATTTATTTGTAACAAACATAAGCGATAGGCCACTTGAAAGTTGAAACAAAGAAATAAAATAAGTCCTCTGTAACATCGTAACATCTCAGCACTCTAAATAAGCCTAGGTACACACACTTAGCCTTTAAACTGGCCAACACACCAATGAAAAGAGGTTATTCTTAACAAATTAAATTAAAACAAATTCTAAATTATGACGGGTATTTGTCAATAACGAAATTAAGATAAAGGGCTCTATTTTGATGGTCAAAGCGCGGGGCGCAAACGTTTTCAGGGCGTGTCAGAATCCACTTTTGCTAATACAAGGATGGAAAAATCCACTTTACGCCGTGGCGCATGATCTAAAAGGGTTGAGCTTATTTTCTTAATAAGTTATAGGTGTGTTTTGAGAATAAACCAATCAGAGCCTCATCTTCCATTCCCTTTAAGAGCCAGTTGCGTCGCGCCATGGCGGATTTGCTATTCACATGACGACTTTGTAAGTGAAAAAACAGCGTTTCACTAGCAAGAAAACAGTTAAACAGAGCATCTGCAGCACGAGAACGAGAGATAAATTATTAACTTTCACTTTCGCTCTCGTGATTAGGGAAACCTTGTATGCACAGACATCAATAAGCCTATAAATATTTAATTTCGTTTGTTAGACGAAAATATTTGTTTCAAAACTATTTCTAAATTCAGTTCTAATTTCCAGCAAACAAATAAATGAATAATGAATTATACTGCTAATAATAATAACATTATACAAAAGCATATTGTCACAAATAAAATTAAAAAGCCTCCCAAGATGAAGGCATAAAGGCAGTGGTTTTCATATTTATGTAATATTTTTAAATATTTTAATCCTTTATATTTATATCATATATATCCTCATTATATCCTATATATTTCCTTAATATTTGAATTCTTTTTCATATGTAAAGATATTTGCGTAGTGCTCTACATCTTGTGTATTAAGCAGTGTGTAAGCGAGGCGCACAACTAACACACTCTGCGATGGACTTTAGACCGAGTTTGTTTTGGTCTATTGAAAAATCTATTATAGTTTCTCAAAATAGCAACGCGCCAGCAATGCGCCTCAAAACGCCTTCCTTTTTAGACCAGAACGCCTATGGGTGCACATATGAGCGCAAATGCATTTGCTATTTAAACAGCGTAGCGCAAAACATCAAAACAACTCTTGCGCCAAGCTGAAACTAGCAAACAACAATTGCGTCTTGCGCCGGTTGTATGATAGGGCCCATAGGCTCTGTGGGATTTGTTTCACTACTTCTCTTCACAATCTGGTCTTAAGGCGACGGTGAAGCTGAATATTAAAAGAATAGCCTAATGCTAACATTAGCCTGTATACTCTGTCTACATTATGATTTTACGGTTTAATATTTATAACCCTTTACTCATCAAGATTAGGCTACGTGTTTTTGTGGAGGAACATTATTGAATCCACTGTAAATGGCTTTAGCGCAGTCCTGCGCTCAGGATGGTGCATCCAGCAACACTGAACAACCTTTTACTGCTTCTGCTACAGGCCGAGATGCAGATCTGATCTGGCTAATTTTGCAACTTTTGGGTAGGATTGTTTGTTCATCTTCTACCAGCCAAGAACATCCATTTAATTTTCAATG